TATCACGCAACGTGCAATGGCAATCAAGCACAACGTGCAACGGTAATCAAACAGCGTACAATTGACAAAATTTAACACACGACGTACGAGACAAGACCAAACAGCAACGTCCAAGCAAATAACATACAGTAACGTGCTAGACTATGGGCTGAATTTTAAATGGAGAAAATTGACCAGTGGACAGCACGTTTCAACACACAAGTATAGGAAAAGTTTTTCTTTACCAAAACAAACAGCAAACACACCAAAGCAAACGTGCAATCGAATAGGTATGATTTTAGAAGGTGAACAGTCCATGAACACACAAACAATCGTGAATTTCAAAGTTGTAGAATAAGGTCGATCAAGGAGTGATCTCACCGGATTTAGCTGCGTTTTAGGTTTGTGAAACTCGGTCAATACTCCTCGGGTACAACCTGCAAATCGAAGCGACACAAACTCGGATTTTGGGATGTTTTTTGGTGAAATTGTTTTCGGCTTTTTCAATGGGACTTGAACAAAGGACAAAACAGAATTTGTAAAAGGATAGATCTCACCCGGGGAACGTCCTATGGCTCGAGCAACCTCTGATACCAAAATGATGTACGCACGAGGGGGATGGGCAAGGGTGTTCAACCGCAATCACCGGCTCACGGGCGGGGCTCTCGAATTCGCGGAGGAACAAGAGGCAATTCGAAGTGGATTTATGGTGAAACGATTCCAATCACTGGTTCGCGAAAGTGCTCTCGAATTCGGAAACGTTTAAAAAAGGAATGGAGATGGAAATCGAAGGGAAGGAACCTCGGACAAACCAAGGAAGGAGCCGGACCAACCGAGCTCGACGGATGACCGGCGGACACACCGACGGCGGCCAACAACAGAGGAAAGAGGCGGACACACCAACCAAAGAATGAGAGAGAGATTCAATCTCAAAATTACTTGCAAAATTCTGAATTGGTCTTTCAAAATTACAAGAGCTGAATTTAAAAGAGATAAACACATTTAATGCTAAGTTTACATGCATGGGGTTAACAATAAATGAGACAAAAGAGCTGTTGAGAAAGCTCCTTCCTTTGGGCTGCGCATGGGCTGGGTCGTGGGCCTTCTTCTTGGGCCGAAGAATTGAATAAAGTCATGTCCTAGGCCTTAGACAATTCGGACTTAATGCTGAAGATGTTTCGGGTCACTTCTCGTCCGAATAATGATGCGCCATTGTTGTCGTTAACCCGAAATCCGTCGAGAACTTGAGTGACACCCTTGGTTAGCGTGACACGAAGTGCTCGAGCTCTAGCACGAGTGAGTGGTGGCTCGGCTCAATGGTTTGCTCGGGGAGCCTTCGCGTTGTGCATGTCAAGTCCCGTTTCTGCGGCTTCAAATGATCTTGTGACGTTATGATCATCCGGCAAGAGTCTTGACGCCTGATGGGCCAAGTCTTCAACACCTTCTAGAGCTCCTTCCGTTAAACTCCCGTCCTCGTCCAAGCTGCTAGCTCCGATGTCCTCATCATAGGTGATTAAGAACAGACCCGGATCGATCTTTGCTTCAAGTTTCATCGAGAACGAGGTAAGTAATGATTCCCTCGGTGATATACACAGTCATTCGGGTTTTTGTACATTTGGTTGCGTGTGACGTTTAACTAGGTTTATATATAATTCTTCCGCTGCATGAAACCTAGTGAACCAAACCTTAGATCGATATGATCGCATGCTAGGAACCCGTAGTGAACCCCAACAGGCTGTTCTACGTAGGGATCGTCTAAGTCATCGTTCACCTCTTGCCTACGGTTGGCCCTAACTCTAGGTCTCGGTTGGGCTCGTCTCCTAGGTGGCTCATCGTAATCGATACCCTCGTCATCGATCCGATCATGTGGTCTATAAACTCTATGGGGTTCGTCGTACTCTGATTCTTCCTCGTCGAACCTCTCACGAAACCTAGGGGCTCGATGTCTAGGGTACAGGTCACGGTCTCCTAGGGCCTCTACCGCTCTCTCACGTAGCCTCCTATGGGGTCATACATCATTCTTGTCCCCACTAAGGATTTCAGGACTATAGTCTCGGTGGGGTATAGGACGGGCAGCAGATTCTCGAATACGAGGTTCGGGTGTCCAGGTTCGGCGCGGTCTAGATTGGTCTATGGGTCCCCAGTTTTGCGGTTCGTTCTCTCTAATCGTTTGCCGGGCCGGCCTACACTCCTCTAACCTAACTAAACGCTCCATAATCTGTTGAAGGGCCTAAAACATACCGTCGTTGCTAGAACCGACGTTAGCACCTTCGTTTGACAGATTCTGGGAACTCATCGCGCTGGCGATTAAAACAATCAACATGCAAGGCAAGTTATACACGGATAGCCTAAGTCATGCGATTCGAACAGCAAACAACGTGCGACGTCAACCAACAAACAACATGCGTACAAATAATAAACAAACAGAACGTACAAGTATCCTAGGATGAGAGCTGATAAGATTTCACACACACTAACACGTAAGGTTCTAAGGATTCACGGGATGAATTCACGCAGCAACTAGCTCAAGGAACAATCAGCACACACGGTACAAACGAAACAACCTAGGACTTTGCTAATAGGAAGGAATTCACCGAGTAGTTAGCGGGCGATCCTTGCAGCCGTGTTTGAGGTGTGAGCGAGCTTCGAGAGGGGTGTTAGGTGCTGCAAAACACAGAAGAACGAACAAGTAAACGTAGCCAAGTCGTGTTCACAAAACAGTTTCAATTGATAACAAAACATAAACAGATTTCGTTAGCAATGAAACGAACAATCGGGAGAACGAAACAACCGTGATTGACGACTGCGATTTGTGAAGTCGAAATCCTTATCACGTCTAGATCCTTGTCAACCTTCTGCACAGAAAAAGGTCACGTACTTAACTCGATTCAAGCAAAAATTGCAGTAGGTATAATCGGTAACAAGTATATAAACATAAAACTGAAAACAATGATCAAGGAGTGATCTCACCGGGTTTATGCGTCCGTTTGGCTCGAGCAAGCTCTGATACCAAAATGATGAGCACAGTCTCGTGTAGACGGGATTGATCTCGGTTGCAGTCTCTCGCCCTTAATGAAGAAGGCTCTCGACTTTCAATGAGGGCTGGAACTTTCGATGATGGCTGGAAGAGATATAGTTTCGGTCTAGGAAAGAAACCGAGGGGAAGTGATGGCGGATAAACTGCCGAAGGGGCCAAAGGATTAAGGGTGATGGGGGAGGTGATGTTCAACGGAAGAGGTAGCGGAAGATGAGGGAACGACGGCGACGTTCGGCAAGGGGATGGGCGATGGTTTCGACCGAAGGGAAAGCCGACGATGATGGTGATGATTGACGACGATGGGGAGGACGATGGTGGATGACGGAGAAGGGGATGGAGACACGGATGATAGACCTCGGACACACCAAGGGTTGGCTTGGCACACCGAAGTCGGGGCAAGGCCGGACACACCAAGCCTTAGGCTAATGGACACACCGTCGGCGGAAAGGAGGGAGATAGCTCCACCTCAAACAATGGCAATTAACCAAAAGAAAATTCTGATTTCCTAAAGCGTGAAATGTTTTCAACGTTTACAAGGGATTAAGTAGATATTAAGTAAAGGACAATCATTTAATGTTAATAAAACATGCAAGCCATGTGGAGCCTAAGACATTAATGCCAAATTTGACTTAGAAATATGGCTGTTGGGCCTAAGTATGTGCAGTCCATATTTCCGATCCGTTAGTCATGTAGCGTTGGCTCCGTAAGATGACACGCGAAGACATTTCGAGACTTGAGATTGGCGTTGCTCTGGAATGACGTGTCAAAGATTCATGTCTCGTCAAGGTGGAACTCCAAGTCGAACATAAGTGAGTTAGAATGGCCCGAGCTTTGGCATGAGTGAGTGGAGGCTCGGCCCGATGTGATACTCATGAAGCCCTCGTATATGGTCCGTTGCGTGCGATGACGGGGTTGGACGTCCGAGATGATAGTGGCACATTCGTGTGCGTCGGGTCGAGACGATCGATCGAGGGTGACGCCGAGAGTTCGGCCGATCGGGCAACATCTTCCGGTGCTCCGAGCTCCGCTCCAAGTCCTTCGTCCGAGCTCCGGATGTCCTCATCAGTTAACTCGATAATTGGGCTATTTTATTAAACCCATAGTTTTTATTCGGTTGAAATCCATTAAGCCCACAAATTGTGATTATTTCCAGATTCTAGGTTTGGTTCAAACATCCAAGAATAAATAAATCGAATCATACAAGAGGAAAAAAAAAGCAAAATCTAGAAAGCATGACCTCAAACGGAGATGACAACCACCCACCGCGAGCTCAAATATGTTAGGGCGCGAGAGAAATCCAAAATAGAGACGAAAAGAAATTACCAACGAACGAGCATCCGAATTAATTTTAGGGTTTTACAATTTTAACGTGGGTATTTTTGTTTTTCTATATAAGCGCTAAGAATCGCAACCATAACGCAACTTATCATTTGCGTTTTAATTTTTAAAGTTTCGTTGCGTTTCGTTTAGGTGCGATTTAATCAGTCGTTTTCTCAACAACCACCACCCCACAGAAATCATAACCGCTCTGTTTACGGGTGGTAGTGGTACAACCAGTCAGGTATAACCAGTCACACCATATATATATATATATCTTATAATTTGAACAAATTGTTTGAAAACTTTGATATGGTCATGCACATCATATAATTCTTTTCTCCGAATAATTGTACTGCGGTTGGTTGAGAAATGTATAAGAATTGTTCTATCTATTTGTATTTAAAATTTTAATTCCTAATTAATGAATAAAATGTCAGGGTCACATTTTTATCTATTTGTTAGATTTGATATTGTTTTAATAACATTTCCTTTATATATATAAACAAACATTAGATATAAATAGGTACTCTTGAGAAAAATACAAAGGTGTAACTGAAATTATCATTGTTATGCATTAAAAACAACACGTGCAGAAAACCATACCCACACACATCATATATAACACATACCAACACATTCGTAAAGGAAACGATCTTTTTCTTCATCAGTTGCGAAATTGCGGGTACATATGCGGAGCTAACCTCGGTTCCACGGATAGAACTAGAGATTTAGCCATCAGCAGACTGGTTGGCGACTCCACGAGCTCGATTCGACCTGGACTCGACCCCGAACTCGGAGGGAGCTTCCAAGTGAACCCCTGGAGAAGCCTAGCCAACAACATCACTGTCATGTATGTCCCAACCTTAGCACCTATGCAACCACGACGACCTGTACCAAACGTCACGAACCGCATCTCCGCCTCCATCAGACTCACCTTCTCCGAGCAACCGTCCCCATTGAGGTGGCGCTCTGGCTTGAAGACCTCCGGATCCTCCCAAATCTTAGGGTTCCGACCCAACAGGATCCTATTCACCAGCACATGACTACCTGTCGTAGCATATGATGATAACATCAAATTTAAATGTTTTATATCAAAGTTGTATGCATGCATGCATGCGCCTAATTGAACACTACAGAGAGTCCATATGATTCTATAGTCACCTTTTGGGACCAAATATCCCCCGAGGGACGTGTCCTCAGTAGCTACATGAGGGGGTAAAAATGGAGCAACGGTATGAAGTCGGTAAGACTCTCTGCAACAAGCTTTTATGTAGTTGAGATTCGGTATGTCACTTTCTTGCACAAGTCTGTCTTTTCCGACTGCTCTGTCGAGTTCGTCCACAGCCCTTTTAAGAGTCTCAGGTCGATTTAACATCTCGGCAAGTGTCCATTCCACATTATTTGCCGGATTATCCAACGATGCGACACAAACATCCTATGAAATGTATCAATAAAAGCTTAATGTTTTCACATATACATGAATGAATATATATGGTTATTATCATGTATGTGTTTATTGGTTATTGAAAATCACTTACCTTGCATTCACCTTTGATTTCTTGAGGTGTAAGCAATGGCTTCCCTTCGAAATCTTTAAGAGAGATTAAGACATCGAGCCAATCTTCGACATCATTCTTTCCTTCTCTCTCCCTCCACAACTTGATTCTATCATCGATAACTAGAGCGTTGCAGTTAGCAATGGAGCCATCAGCAGACTGGTTGGCGACTCCACGAGCTCGATTCGACCGGGACTCGACCCCGAACTCGGAGGGAGCTTCCAAGTGAACCCCTGGAGAAGCCTAGCCAACAACATCACTGTCATGTATGTCCCAACCTTAGCACCTATGCAACCACGACGACCTGTACCAAACGTCACGAACCGCATCTCCGCCTCCATCAGACTCACCTTCTCCGAGCAACCGTCCCCATTGAGGTGGCGCTCTGGCTTGAAGACCTCCGGATCCTCCCAAATCTTAGGGTTCCGACCCAACAGGATCCTATTCACCAGCACATGACTACCTGTCGTAGCATATGATGATAACATCAAATTTAAATGTTTTATATCAAAGTTGTATGCATGCATGCATGCGCCTAATTGAACACTACTGAGAGTCCATATGATTCTATAGTCACCTTTTGGGACCAAATATCCCCCGAGGGATGTGTCCTCAGTAGCTACATGAGGGGGTAAAAATGGAGCAACGGTATGAAGTCGGTAAGACTCTCTGCAACAAGCTTTTATGTAGTTGAGATTCGGTATGTCACTTTCTTGCACAAGTCTGTCTTTTCCGACTGCTCTGTCGAGTTCGTCCACAGCCCTTTTAAGAGTCTTAGGTCGATTTAACATCTCGGCAAGTGTCCATTCCACATTATTTGCCGGATTATCCAACGATGCGACACAAACATCCTATGAAATGTATCAATAAAAGCTTAATGTTTTCACATATACATGAATGAATATATATGGTTATTATCATGTATGTGTTTATTGGTTATTGAAAATCACTTACCTTGCATTCACCTTTGATTTCTTGAGGTGTAAGCAATGGCTTCCCTTCGAAATCTTTAAGAGAGATTAAGACATCGAGCCAATCTTCGACATCATTCTTTCCTTCTCTCTCCCTCCACAACTTGATTCTGTCGTCGATAACTAGAGCGTTGCAGTTAGCAATGGGTCACATGCTTCTCTTGCCTTCTTCTCAAGTAACCAGTTCAGTCTTCCAGGTGTCATCAACTAACAATTTCTCTAAGAATTTCACCATTATCGTATACTATTTTTTTTTACATTTAGAGTGGATTCCGTGGTAACAAAAATTAATTTATGTAATGACTCTGCGTATAAAGTATGAGAAGCTCTTCTCTTTCATACAAGAGAGGAAGTTATATAAGGTGCCGGTTTAAATTATATTGCAATCAAAAGAAATAATAACGAATAAAAGAAGGTTTATCTATTCAAAAACTATTTACACATAGATTGGAGAATTAGTTCACTTTTTATAGAGTCGAGAAAAATGAGAAATAACTTTGAGAAGAAAAAAAACGTCCGTTTGAGATAAAGATTCACCTGGTCGGATAGAGACATAGATTGATTTGGATTTACTGTGTATATATTTTTAAGTGGATTGGGTGGTACGTTGGTTAGGACAGACACTGACGGATCCAAAAAAAATTTGATGAGACAACACTAATAAATGTAATACAAAAAATTAATATAATATATCGTTACAAAATATTTACTTTCTACATTTTCTATTATTTAAAATTTATCTATAATAATTTCAACTAACCATCTAAATATACAATCACTCTATCGAGCATAGAAGAGAACATAGTAGTTTTAGAAAATTTTCCTTATATACATTCAATTCTTTACAAATGCAATATATATACACATAGGATAAGATAGAAGCAAATATTTTTTTTTGGTTTAAAGGTAATTTTGTATTACTCAAAAGAACGGTGTTACATCAGTTTTACAACTGGATAATTTATACAAAATAGTGGGTTTCCCATGCGCAAGTGGACAAAATAAATCACTGAACAGACCCTACCAACAGGGTTGATTACATCATGTTCCTTAGTCTATGAGAGGCTGTCAAGTACGTAGTACCAATCCTGGAGCAAACTAATGTTAGAAGATATAAGCAAATCTGATTGTTACAACAGAAAATAGAAACTAAACTCTACAAATTAGGGAAGAATAAAAACTGTAAAATATACTCCGATACTCCCCCTCAAGATGGAGAATACAAATCATGTATTTCCATCTTGGATAATAAGAAATGATACTGATCAATCGCCAACGACTTTGTGAGAGCATCCGCGACTTGGTTATGGGAAGAAACGTGTAAAGGTTTAAGGAAATTGGACTTAAGTTGATCCCGAACATAGTGACAGTCCAATTCGATGTACTTCGTACGCTCGTGATAGACCGGATTATTCGCAATATGAAGAGCAGATTGACTATCACAATAAAGAGTCACCAGACGAGGACAGCGAATACGCAGACCACAAAGCAAACTCTCCAACCAAACAAGCTCAATGTCGTCTGTGTTGGGATTTTGAAGATCTCTAAACGTGCGTTCATAACAGTTTCTACGGTTCCAACTTTGGGTTTCACGCAGCAAAATATATAAAACGAAATCCAAACAACAGATCTTACATATAATGATAAAAGTATCGATATGTCAACCTGTTTCGATCCAAAGACCTGTCACAAACGTTGAAATCCAACGTTCTCTACAGCTAGTCCACACTCACGGGTTTACGTCTACTAGAACGCAATCTGGAGGTTGGAAACGGGAACCGAGGTGCTCCTCGGGAGAGAAAGAGACGTCGTCCGCGAGAGAGAGGGAGACGAAAAATTCTCTTAATTTTTCTTAATACTAAATTATGTTTTTTAAACATAATTATAAAGTGATTAGTATTTCATTAAACCAATTGAGCCTATTGGGCCTTCAACTTAACAATTAAGAGATTAAAGCCCATTAGCCTTATTAGTTATCATATGAGTCCATTGGGCCACCTAAACTCATCCAAAAGATTTCTAATCAGTTTCGCAAACCGATCGTGGCCAGAGCACCATATCCATCAATCTCTCACTTGCTCTACTCATGATCGAGTTTCAGTCTATCACAATAAACCTTCCCATGCACGCTCCAGAAAATAGAAATAGCCCTACGTGTGTGACCATGTAGGTCCGTCCAATGCAGACATAGTTCTGAAACCATTTCGGACTAATAATCATAGGTGGTCTCTAGCAAGATACTATGACTCCCTTGTTAGACTAAAGTAGTGTGATCTAACGAGCCAAGTAACGTTCAACACTTATATCATTTTTGTCAAGCGATATCATAAGTCAAAACAGAGACATGGAACAAGTCATCTCGTCACATTTTGACTGCTTTCTCGTTCGTTGAGTTAACAGAACCTACATATGACTCTTCATCTGTTTGCGCGCGTTTCAGCTCAACTCACTCGAGGGGCCCAGCGATATCTCTCTCTTCACATAAGAGAGCGACAAAATCATGTCTTGACTCTTTACTACCCTCCACATGATTCATGAGGCTCTCAATTACAGTCATTATAGTCATCCTTTTACAGTTCCGACGTTTGATTGTGTTAAAGAATATCACTCCTCATGTCGGATACATATAGAGACCTCAGGTGTTAGGACTCAAAGCGGAGTATTACATGAGATTCTAGTCATGATGTCAGATCCATGTGACAATCTCATGCGGGTCATCCAATATTCATTCATAAATGAACATCCATGATCACGATCTATATCCAATACGCTATGATCATCTCTATGATCATCCATCATGTATCATACTAGTCTTTATTCGTTAATGTTCTCACATTAACGATCGACTAGGGAATTTTGTATTATTACAATAATAATACAAGGATAACATTATTAAACAATAACATGCAATTTAAATAATAATAATAATAAAGAAAACATATTTTCATTCATCATAATAAATCCAAGTACAATAAATAAAACATTCGTGCGAATAATCATGTTTAGAGTATAAAATATCACAATCTCCAAACGCTCTAATCATGATCAACTAAATATCTAATCCCCATAAACCTAACATGACACTCATACTTCGACGAAGGGAGAGGCTTCGTCAATGGGTCAACGATGTTATCATATGTCGATACTCTGTATATCATCATCTCTTCTATCTCCAATTTCTCTGATAAGATAAAATATCCGGAGTATGTGTTTGGATATCTGATGTGACCTTGGTTCCTTTGCTTGCACAATCGCATCATTGTTGTCATAGTACAACCTAATGGGGTTCGCAATACTAAAAATAATACCAAGATCTCCAACGAACTTCTTGATCTGAACAACCTCCTTTGTTGCATCCGATGAAGCAACATACTTAGTCTCTATAGTGGAATCTGCAATGGTGCCCTGTTTGGAACTCTTCCAACTAACAATGCCTCCGTTAAGAATGAACACAAAACTTGATTGCGATCGAAAGTCATCCACATTGGACTGAAAACTAGCATCAGTGTAACCACTTACAACGAGTTCATTTTCATGTCCACTGTAAAGCAAGAACGCATCCTTAGTCCTTATCAGGTATTTCGGGATGTTCTTTACGGCTATCCAGTGTGGCTCACCTGGATCAGACTGGTATCTTCTCGTTAGACTCAATGCTAACGATACATCTGGCCGAGTACACTGCACGGCGTACATGATAGCTCCTATCGCCGAAGCGTATAGAATTCTATCCATGCATTCTCGCTCATCATATGTCTTTGGACATTGATTCTTGTTCAGAACTAAACCTGTCTCATCGACAAGGATCCCTACTTGGATTCTTGCATGCTAAACCGTTTTAGCACCTTGTCGACGTAAGTACTCTGACTTAGACCGATTAACTTTCTCGATCTATCTCTATAGATCTTGACACCTAGAATATAGGTAGTCTCGCCTAAGTCTGTCATCGCAAAAAGCTTTCGTAGCCAAGACTTAACGTCTTGCAAGGTAGAAATGTTGTTTCCGATTAGCAAGATGTCATCAACGTATAAGACCAGAAACACAACTGCGCTCCCATTGACCTTCTGATAAACGCATGGTTCGTCCTCGTTTTGCAAGAAGCCAATCTCTTTGAATGTCTCATCAAAACGCAGGTTCCAGTTTCTTGAATCCTGCTTCACCATAAATAGACCTCTGAAGCTTACATACCTTCCTTGGATGCTCAAGATCTTCAAAACCCTCGGGTTGTGTCATATACACATCCTGAAGCAGATTTCCGTTAAGAAATGCGGTCTTGACATCCATTTGCCATATCTCACAGTCGTAATATGCGGCTATGACAATGAGTATTCGAATGGATTTAAACATAGCAACGGGAGAGAAGGTTTCGTCATAGTCAATACCATGAATTTGTCGAAATCCTTTCGTCACCAATCTTACTTTATAGGTATGCATGTTGTCATCCATGTCAGTTTTCTTCTTGAAAACCCACTTGCATCCGATGGATTTTATCTCTTCAGATGCATCAACCAAAGTCCATATTTGTCGTACATGGAGTGCATCTCAGACTTCATAGCCTCGAACCATTTCTCAGAGTCCGGATTCGACATAGCTTCTGAATATGATGTAGGCTTGTCTTACTCTGTAAGCACAAGTTCATCATTTCTAGTCACGATAAATCCATATCTATTGGGCTCATTTCGAATCATGCTCGATCTCCGAGGTTCATCAACGATAGGCAAAGTCACAACGGGTTGCTACGAAATATTGCTTCCCACGGCTTGAATATGGTCTAGTTTAGGTTAAATTATCAAGTCGGACTTGGACTTAACGGTATAGATGGGATAAGAGATATACAATGGTATGATGATACCATAATCCCATAAAAGATCTAAGAGTCACATTGGATGTGATCGATATTAGATGTCTACCTAGATAGCATAAACTTGATTCAAGTTTATGTGAAATATGGATCCTAACCCACTTAGGAAATACTAGTAGGGTTATTTTTCTCAGTGGGAGCCAATTCATATTACATCATGTTGTTTGTGTTAGTAATGTACTAGGTTGTAGTAATGTACTACTTATATTGCATATTGTATTGTTTGTTTTGTCTATCTCTATAGAGAATGGAGACAACTGGTAATGTACTGAATTTACCAATGCGATCTATCCTTGAGAAGGATAAGTTGACAGGGACGAACTTCTTAGACTGGCATCGTAACCTGAGAATTGTTCTCAGACACGATAAGAAGATATACGTCCTTGAAGGGGCTCTTCCACCAGAGCCCACAGCCAATGCTGTTGGGATTTCCTGGGATCTCTAGAGCGAATCTTATTCCTAAGAAATCGATTCTAGGGTTTGCGCAGCGGATGTAAAAACAAAAATTTTATGAAACCCTAGAATCATGCATGTATGAATCGTAGAAACGTTAGAACGCTTACCTCAATCGATTTGAGGCCTGTATCAACTGAATAATTTGTCCGATCACTTAAGGCAGGAAGATTACCTCACCCTCTACACGTATCCACACCTCGGGATGGATTCCAACGATTGGAACTTGTCTGCTAGGACCCGAATCAACTATTCGGTATGTTGCTTCGAGAAAACAAGACTTAGATCACTTCTTAGAACCTTTTGGATCTCACCAAAGTCTGTAGAAGTTCTCCAAAGTCGACTCAATCTATTAGGGTTTTAATCTCCATCTTATAAAGTGATTTAACCATAATTTTGGTTTAATTTTCGAAAAAACCGAAAGTCAGAACGGACAGTCTACCTCGGTGGACCGTCCGTTCCAGACCTTCTGGAACGGACAGACCACGTTCTGGACCGTCGGATCTGGACCTGGCAGACCGTCGGGTCTGGCCCTTCTGGCTGATGATCCTTTTGTATCCCGATGTCATAAGTCGAACATAAGGCATGGACAGGCCACCTTATCTGATTCGACTGCTTTCTCATTCACTGAGTTCGACTGTACGAAATAGACGACGTTCATCTATAGTGCGGTCACACATTTCACTGTCGCGCTCACACGAGGGGCCCAGCGATATCTCTCTCTTTTACGAGAGATACAAATCCCGTCTTGACTATCTACAATCCAACACAGATTCGTTTCGTACCTGATACACGCCTTTACAGTCCTCCTATTACGCAGGACGTTTGACGTATTCAAAGTACGTAACTCCTCATGTTGGATTCCGTAGATATCTCAGGTCTTAGGATCCAATCATGGAACCGTCATATGAGATTCAAATCATGACGCTAGTCCATGTGACAATCTCATGCTGGTCAATCCAGTATTCCGTTCTCCAACGAATACCTATGATTGTGATCGTATCCAATACTTATGATCATCCCTATGATCATCAATCACATATCATACTAGTCTTATTACATCATTATTCCCACAACGACATACGACTAGGGAGTTTAGTATTGTTCATAACAATACACGGATATCATAACATATCAAGTATGCAAAACATGTAATGAATAAAACACTCATCCATAAACCATAGAAAGTGTCAATACATCAAATGTATCTAAATAAAGCTCGCATAACATTACATCATAGAGCACTAAACCAACAATCTCCCACTTGCTCTAATCGTGGACTGCTAAACATCTAATGTCCATATCCCTAACATGACCCTCATGCTTCGACGAAGGGATCGACAATGTTGTCATATGTCGACACTCTGCAAATGTGCACGTCTCCTCTGTCTATGATCTCCCTGATAAGGTGAAATCGTCTGATTATGTGTTTGGATAATTGATGGGATCTGGGTTCTTTCGCTTGTGCGATCGCACTAGGAATAACACCCAAGTCGCCAACAAACTTCCTGATCCAAACAGCTTCCTTTGCTGCGTCCGACGCTGCAATATTCTGTAGTAGAATCTGCAACGGTCGCTTGCTTAGAAGTCTTCCAGCTAACAACACCTCCGTTCAAGTAGAAAACATAGCCAGACTGCGATCTGTAGTCATCCGGGTCTGACTGAAAACTAGCATTGGTGTAACCCCTTACAGCGAGCTCGTGTTCCGACCCACCGTACACCAAGAACACATCCTTAGTTCTTCTCAAGTACTTCAGGATGTTCTTGACGGCGATCCAGTGTGACTCACCTGGATCTAACTGGTATCTATTCATAATGTTCAATGCATAGCATACATCTGGTCGAGTATAAAGCATGGCATAGATGATGGATCCAATTGCCGAAGCATACGGAATCTGATCCATGCGTTCTCGCTCATCAGGTGTCGTAGGACACTGACTCTTGCAGAGAACTGTGCCACTGCTCATTGGTAAGGTTCCTTTCTTGGAATCTTGCATCTTGAACCGTTTCAAGACCTTATCGATGTAAGTACTCTGACTCAATCCTAGAAGACGTCTCGATCTATCTCTATAGATCTTAATGCCTAAAATATAGGCCGCGTATCCTAGGTCCTTCATAGAAAACTGCGTTCCTAGCCAAGACTTTACGTCTTGCAAGGTAGGAACGTCATTCCCTATTAGGAGAATGTCATCCACGTACAGCACTAGAAAAACTATTGTGCTCCCACTGACCTTCTTGTAAACACATGGCTCGTCTTCATTCTGTGAGAAACCAAACCTTTTGATTGTCTCATCAAAGCGAAGGTTCCAGCTCCTCGAAGCCTGCTTCAGTCCATAAATGGACCTCTGAAGCTTGCACACCATCCTCAGGTTCCTTGGATCGACAAAACCTTCGGGTTGTGTCACATACACATCCTCGGTCAAGTTCCTGTTAAGGAATGCGGTCTTGACATCCATTTGCCATATCTCATAGTCGTAATATGCGGCTATGGCAAGCAGGATCCTGATGGACTTCAGCATAACTACAGGCGAAAAGGTCTTATCATAGTCAATACCATGAATCTGACAGAATCCTTTCGCCACAAGTCGTGCCTTATACGTGTGCACGTTGCCATCCATGTCGGTATTCTTCTTGAAGATCCACTTGCATCCGATGGGTTTTATCCCTTCAGACGCATCAACCAGAGTCCATACTTGGTTGTCTGACATGGATTGTATCTTGGACTGCTGGGTCACACGGGATCCTAGACCGCCGGTTCAAAACCGTGCTAGGATCTGGTCTGTGGGCTTACACAGCGGAATTAGCGTTCAAAACGTTTTTGAACACCCAAACGGACCAATCTTTTCGATGAAGAACTTTCTTGAGAGAAAAACTAACCTTTGATTCACAATCTTGATGCGGTTAGTTGATCACAACCTAGGTGTTGAAGGAGCCAACACCCTCTTGAGCAGTCCACACCCTTGGGATGGATTCCAACACTTGGAATCTTGTTTGCTAGAGCTTGAAGAGATCAAATCTCTTGTTTTTGGATTAAGAACACTCTCAAGAGGTTGAGAGAGTTTCTCCAGATCAATCTTGGCTTTTCTGATGACTTAGGGACGAGATAAGGGCGAGCCAAACCTTCCCCACCTGCTTTCCATTTGAGAAAAGGCGAGAAAAGTCACTTTGGATTTTCTGACACGTCCATCCCATATGTGTGTGACCCTTTAGGCTCCTCCGAATACGGTAGTAAACACGAGATCCAATCTCGCTTCACAAATTATAAGCAGTCTCTAGCAAGACATTATGATTACCCGTATCGGAAAGAGTTAGATGTGATCTAACCGAAAAGCCAGAGATAGCTCCAACGATGATCCTCTTTGTCTCACGATGTCATAATCGAACTCATAGTTCGAATGCTTTGTCGTATCCCGAGTAGACT